ATGTAAAAGACCAACTGAAAATTAAGTACCAGTCTCAAAATGAAATGGTGTTTTTTGTTTGTTTGTTTTTGTTGCAAATAAATATCTGAAAAGTTTGGCATGTTTTTGGTTTTCATGTTTTACTGTATAAACGTTTTGCCAAAGTTGCTAAATGTTATGACGTCCTGAAGGTAGAGTTTCAGAAAGAGCAGGAGCTTCTTAAAGAGACAAAGGTCCAATTTCATAGTTAAATTATGAAGAAAATTGTATGAAGTCATATTTGATATAGCATTTTTGTAACAACTGACGGTAAAATAGCTAGTTTACTGTGGTATAAAATAATACCATGTGCTGAAAAACAAATAATACTGCCCCTTTAAGACTGTCAGCGTCAAGAGGATACTAATGTATGTCACAGATTATTTAAAAATCCCCACTTCTGTCTGCGTAACTTTGTGTCAGTACATCAGATATAAAATTTAAAAAAATCCCAATAACTTACAATGAGGTTATTGGGATAGCACGAGAAAATGCGGACAAAATTCAAGATGCATTAATACGTTTGCCGGGCGCTTTACGTTCTCGATAAATAAGGCAGAGATGCCGCTGACCCAGGCTGTCGAAGTGACATTTTTGTCTCCTTTACTGGCACCTCATTAACCTTCCGTACCCATCGTCCCCGGCGCCGCAGCCATATCTCAGCATAAAAGACGGCGCATTATGCGCTTAATGTTCCTCATCATTTCCTTTTAAACAAGATTTATGCCGCCTGCTGCTGGATTTCAGACAATGTACCCAATTAGCTGCGTGTCTGCCAGCGCCCTGCTGGCGCGTTGTCGTCCTCGCGCGTTTGTTGCGGTGACAGCGAGTGCAAACCTATTAGCCTCCTGCGGGGGGATTCTTTGGAAAAGTGAAACCTCTTCTTTATGTGATTTTTTTTGTTGTTTATTTCCAAGAAGAAAGAGAGAGGCTCCGCATGCTGTCGCCAAACGTGTTCACAGTGGGACCAAACGGACCTCGGTGTGTGAACCGAGAGGACGGGGTTAGTTAGAGGCTAACCGGTGTAGCCTAATTGATTTCAACTCTGTCAACGTGCCGTGTTATTTTTTGTAAACTGACACGACGTTAGTGAAAGTCAGTCAAAATTAAAGATAGGGTTTTGTTTTTTTGTTTGTTTTTTTGTTTTTTTAGAGTTGGCAGGCGGAGGAAACTAACAAGACAGATGGGACTGTCCAGCAGCACGTGCCTTCATTGATATTCCCCCCGATCCTCAGGCTAGTTAACATTGATTTGCCATCGCTGTCAAGGGATCTCCAGATGTTCAATGGCCAGCTGACATCTGATAACGCAGAGACGGGAGCATGCGGCAGCCAGCGGCCATCGTTGGGATGCATCAGGTCAGCCTCCACCTGTTCTCCCAGATAGATGGCTTAGTAAATATGCAGATCCTGGCTTCCCTGTGCACAGCCAGATGGTGCAGCTCAAAACTGTATCTGCAGCCTGCTGCACAGTGCAAAATGCAGAACAGGTTGTTTAAAAAAAAAAAAAAAAAAAAAAAAAGAAAAGAAAAAAGAAGCCCAAAAACCCCCGGGGGTTTGGGGT